TGAAGACGGAGGTTCGGTTTTGACCATCAATGCGATTAAGTGCTGACATTTTGGGTCTTGAACGATTTATCCTATCGAAGATTGACGTCCGAGTGGCGGATTTAGGCTCCGCTTGATCTTGTTTAATGCTCACACTGATGTGTTGAGTTTTAGCATTTTTTGCTTTGTTTGAAATCTTCACGGGTGCATTTGGTGTGAAGCCAAGTCCAGCTTTGTTGTTGTCAACTCCGTTACTATGCTTCTTCAACTTCTTTTGAGTCTCGGTGAGGTCACGTTCTTTATCGTTGACGGTGTTTGAAACCTTCTTTCCAGGATTCGAAGAAGAAGCGAAGTCATACCCAGCTTTCGACATGAGTTTGTAAGCGTTTGGATCAAAACCTTCTTCGGTCCTCTTTGGGAGAAAACTTGGTTCCACCCCATTTGGTAGAGCTTTTATGAAGCCTTGTGGTAGTCTTGCAACCTTAGCATCGCTTCACTGTGTCAGAGGCAAAACTGCATTCGTCTTGAGCAACTTTACGTTATCCCTGTGCTGCTGTGCATCGGCTTTGCTTGCTTTAGTTTCGAACGGAGATTAACCATTCTTTCTTCTCGACATCGAGATGTATCGGAAGACGGGTGTGTTTGGTCCATTTGAGGGCATCCTGCTCCCTTTGGTTGTTGCAGGTTTAGCAAGCTCATCATTGTTCTTGCTTGAAGACAGCATAGCTTCTCCTTCTTGCTTCTTGGGCATGGCTTGCCACTCCTGCTTTTTAGGTGTTGCTATGCCCGTGGATTTGATCTCTTTTGGAAAAGCTTCGGGCACCATGTCTTCATCCATGTAGAACTTGGCATCTGCGAAATGTGATTCAGCTTCAGTGAATGGTTTGGTGTCGCCATAAATCACCTTCACTCCTTCTTGGTAAAATTTTAAGCATTGGTGAAGGGTGGACGGTACTACTCCATTCGCATGGATCCAAGGCCTTCCTAAGAGCAAGCCGTAGGAAGTTCTTGCAGTAATCACGTGGAATATCGTGCTTGACTTGAGTTCACCAATAGTCATCTCCACTCGGATCATGCCCATCGCTCTTTGTCCTTATTGATTAAAACCTTGGATTAGTAGACGACTTAGGGACAGTTCATCCGCCTTGATGTCGATTGTAGTCATTGTTGACCTTGGCATGATGTTTATGGCTGATCCACCATCCACAAGCATGCGGTTGATTTTGTGCTCCCTTACGTACCCAGAGACGAAGAGATGACGGTTGTGAGGCTTGGATCCTAGCAGCAAGTCTTCGTCGGTGAAGTGGATTTCGTCCTCAACGGCATAGCATATGGCACATTCATGTGGCCGAAGCTTCAAGCCTTCGTTCTTGCTTTCTTGCACTTCGTGGACGTCGGGACTTGCCAAGACCGCCGCCAATGCTCTTCGTATCTTCTTTGGCAATCGTAGCGCTTCCTCGACGCTAAAGTGTATCGGCAGGCCTTCTTTGGGTGTGAGGGCAATTTCTCCTTCGATGGCGTTGGCTTTACCTTTTGAAGGTTCTTCCATTTCTACTTCGACCATGTGACATGCATCAATAGTGCACTGTTGGAAAAAGTCCTTCAGGAAGTACTCGTGCAAGGAAACAGGAATACGTGGCTCTTGCTCCGTCCCCAAGCCTAAGCATTAACAGAAGAATGGATTGGTAATAAAACTCATAAAACCTTACTATGGTAAAAACTAGTATAGGAGAAATGTGAGAAGTATGCGTTAAGTCAAAACTATTCGTCTATTGAATTAGACGAACGCAAGTAGAAAAGTCCATAGGAGTATAACTAGCCCATGATAGGTGCCTCGTTAAAACTTAGTTAGGTAGTAAAAACCCAAAGGTAAAAATGCTCCTAATTGTAGGGAAAAAGAATACATTGAGATCAAGTGAGTATGTTTTTGGATACTCCCCCTCAGTTTGACAAAACTTCCAAAAATGCGAAATACAGGCAATTCAGATTAGATAATGTACACATACTGATTCATTGGACGAGCTTATTGATAGGATTTTTACTACTCATGTTAACGGGCTTAAATCTCCTATTTTACTTGCAAGAATCATAAGGTTATTGTAGTATAAACGGATCTCGCAAGGTCGTCTCCACAGGGATTATTAAATAATTTGAAACTAATCAGATTTCATTTAATTATTGTAAAGTAGAAGTTAAGGTGATTGATTTTATAACCTAATTAAAATAAAAACGAAATTAATAAATTAAAATAAACAATATGCAATATTAGAGCTAGAGAGAAGAAAACAGTTTTGGGAGAATAAAATTAAGAAAGCACTAGGGTTCCACCATCACCTAGCAATCCTATGAATTTTTACCCATTACTTATGATCTATACATGCCACTTTGAAGGTTAGATTTTCCTAATTCATATTTTACTTGGAACCTCCAACATAGAACGTATATCTAACATGCAACCCGTCCGGACGTTCGGATCAAATCTGAACATGAAAGACTCATTATGCTTTATGAAAATCCTTTGAAAAACCATGCAATCCTTAAGACATGATATTCATCCTAAGTGAAATTACAATTATTAATCACAAGAAGCCAGCGTCAATTTCAGGGAACATTCCGACCAAAATTGCATCAAATTATTTTTTTAAAGATCCTAATGGTGATCAGGCATTAAGACAATTAGATAGTTTTTATCCCGGTGATTAACAATTCAAAGTATGCAGCAATCAATCATAAGCAATTAAATAAAAATCACATATTCATGCTAAGGCTCAAGGCTTCGCCCTAACAAAAGAAATTAGTTCCGCATATTCATAATTGAAATCATAGAAAATATTCTTAAGAAAAGGATTGAAAACACCTTCAAGTAGAAAATCTCCAAAACCTTAGTAATTCTCTCTGTCTCCAAAGTTGCATAAAATAAAGCGTAGTGAAAAACTGTAGACAGCCAAGCAATATATTTGCTAAGCCACCACACAAACCCTAATCCCCCATAAAAAACATAACCCTAAATTAAAATGGTAAAATTCGTCCAAAATCTGAACAGCCACGTTTTGGACCCATAAGCTACTCCAAAACTGGCCCAATATAGCTGGATTTAATGTTTGGATTATTCTGAACACTTCTCCAGAAGGCCACAAACCCATCCGAGGTCATCTTGGGCTCCAAAAACGTAATTTAAGCCCAAAAACGTCATTTTCCAGCACTGCGCACTACTCCTTTATTTTATCGCCAGAAAATAACCACTTGGTAGAAAAATCCCAAATTTTGATACGATCAAGCTAAGTGACTCACAAACGTCCTTCAACTGGAATTACTCCAAAATTCGTCCATTTGGTCCTGGTTTTCTCCAGAGGAAGTCAAAAGTTCTATATTGAAAATACAATTCAAAGTATCAAAATTCTTCCAAAATATTAACCAAAATATACTAAGATTAGGGTAAAATATATAATATAAAATCTACTCATCAAATACCCCCAAACTTAGCTTTTTGCTTGTCCTCAAGCAAAACAAGACTCAAACAAAAATAAAAACTTAACTAGACAACTAGCTAAAACTCAACCAAGACAAAACTTCCACCTTCAAGTTACAATCCATAGCAAATTTTAAAAACTAGAACATCTTTTCAAAAGTTCCAACTAATCCCACCACAGAGTCTAAGCCATTTAGAATCAATTAGAAAAGAATTCACAAACTTCCTTTGGTGTAAAGTGAACCAACATAGTTAAAGAGCCTCGACTAAAACCCTTACCTCTCGTCATTATTTATTTCACACATAGTAACTTTAAATATAACTCTCTTTCTTTTTTTTCTCTTTTTTTTTCATATATAACTTTTTTTTTTCAGTAACAGTAGTGGTTGTGCAATGTCGGTTCACTTAAACTTTCGATCCAACCCATGTAGCGAGCTTTAGGTCAATGACTCCCAAACCACTAGGGCTTTAGGGCACTAGGTGTAGAACACCCCTAAGGACTTATTAACCCGAGCTGAAAAGGCTACGAAACCAACTAACCACCCTGCCCCATGCCAAAATTCTACCGTTTGATGTGAGAATCGCTGCTGATTAGGCAGGACTGGCCCGGTTACTAGGCAAAACCTCAGGTGAGACAATTATTACTTTATTCATAATAATAATTGACTTTACTTAAAACAAAAATTAAAAATAAACTTAGACTAAAAGCAAGTGTTTCAATCTCACTCCCCACAAACCCTGTTGGTGCGATGTGCAAAGTTCAAAGTATAATTCATGAATTAGTGTCTAAGCAACGATAAATAGCAAAGACTCTAATGTGGGATTAACCTTCACCATGTCCATTTGTTCTAACGTTTAAAATAATCTATGGATATTAACTTAACAAGAATGAAATTTTTTAATGTAAACTGACACAATAATAAAAAAAACAAAAATTTACTTTCCCACCCCCAAACTTATTTCACACTTTGTCCTCAAGGTGTGGAAAAATAAAAGAAAATAAATTAACAACTTTACAAAGAAAATGAAATATTAAAACAGACACCAACTAAAGCTATGAATAAGTACAAAAATAGGACAAAGAAATGACCAAAACGACATGACAAGGAACAAAATAAATAAAATAAAATAAAATAAAGGAGAAAAGAATGCACCTGATTCGAAATCAGGTCCTAGGGCCATGGGAAAAGATAATGGTGTGCCAACCTTTTAGCCTTGACAAAGAACACGTGGCAGCCATAGGGTTTGAAACCCAACGTGCAAAACAAAAATGCCAATATAAATATTGGAGTCCTTTGAAATTAATGGGATGCAGCTGGCATCCAGATTTTTTTAAAGAAAAAAAAATGTCAGTCATGGCGCCCAGTTCATTTAGATATTACCAAATCCATGTGCACAGCAGGTGTGCACCAAAACGGAGCACCAACATTGGATTCTCTGCGAGTTTCGATTACCGAGCCAAACAACTCCATTTCTGAGGCATTTCAAAACCCTCACTCATTAGATCATGGAAACATTCAGATTTGCACACGTGTCGTGCATCCGGGTGGGAAGTTCCTTAGGATTCCAACTGAAAAGCTCCATTTCTTCCATTTCTCTCAGAAACCATCTCTCTAAAATGAAAAGACCTCTCTGTCTCTCACATTTTTCTCTCATTTCCCCAATTCATCTCTGCTCTCTTCTTCATTACTCTCAAAAACGCAAAAACCTTATGTCTTTTTAGAAATCAGCCTCATCCTCTCTCGTATTTCTCAACCTCATTTCTCCCTCAGCCGCTCAACCACATACGCGTGCGGGACCTTCTTTCATACAGCAACACAACCACACACACTCTCCTCCGCAAGAACGCCAAAACCAACGCCTCTGCCATGGAAATGGTAGCACATTTGAAGTTTAAATCTGCTCAAAAAGGTAATCTTCATCCCTGTCCTTGCTGAATATGTGCGCAGTGGATGATTTTATATGTTAAACATTATCTCATGCTGATATGCGTCCTTTGCAAGGATGTGGATCTGCCGACGAAGCCAAGAAGAATGACAAACAACATGCAAGTAGCTCAGATCCGAGACAGAAAGGGTAAAATTACTAGCCTCCATAACTAATCTCTCACTGCATGTCGCATATAAGCTGCATCCGGCATTTGTAAAATCTATGCATCTTGTCAGGGTGCAAAGGTCGACGATCTGGAAGCGGAACACTGACAATGAAAAGGAACACTAGCTACAATGCAAATCTGGTGCCTGCAAAGGTAAAAATCTTGTACTCCGTAGGTGAATGAACCCCATGTTGTCAGAAAATAGCTTCAACACCTCTGCATGTAATTATAATGATGTGGTATTTGTGCAGAACACTCAGAGCCGTGACAGATCTGAGAGAGAAATCTCAAACTGAAAGTCCACTGGATCATGAAAATCAAAGTGTCATCAGTCTTTCTGTTGTGAACTGTGCAGGATGACAGTCTGATCCTGGAACAAAGGGAGAGAACAGGACAGCTCGGACATCACAGATCCACCTCCCATACGAAGGTAAAACTAATCCGGGGTTGGGATGAGTCTGATCTACAAAAATGATATTTATGTCCTAGCATGGTTTCATTTTGTTGCTATGTGCAGGGAAGGCGGATCCATGATAGATCCGTGGGAAGTAAAATGGATGGACAAACAGCAGCTTCAATAGACAAAAATGACACAAGCTTCCAAGAGCCCAGATCGGTGAATCTGGGAGGTAAAATTTCATATCCTTGCAAGTTGAATTGTTGTATATCTGGTAATAATAGCTGTACTCAGTTATGTGGTGTATGGATCTGTGATTTAATTGTGCTTCCTCCATGCATCGCAAAACTGAGCTGCAGAAAATTAACTGCTCTAAATTATGTTTCTGTGCTAGATCTGCAACAATCTCCCCCAAACTTGCATCTGTGAATGACTGTTTATGTTGACTGCTTTAAATTTCCAGCATAGTGTAGATGTGGTTGATGTAACGGTAGACTTGCTGTTGGGTGCAGGATTCCAGCATAGGATGCGCTTTATTTTCCATGTTTTCAACCTGCAATTAACCAATAAATGCGAATATTAAAAACGGAGTTAAAATCAACATGCGTAAATAAAGAAAGCGACATATTTTTAGATTTTTCATGGTTTTTTGTTTTTTGTTTTTTTTTGTTGAAAACTTAGGTGTATATATATGCATCTAGAAATTTAACTTATATAAAAAAAATCAAACGAACAAATAAAATAAGGAAAAAGTTTAGAAAAATTGGGTTGCCTCCCAACAAGCGCTTTATTTTAAGTCTGTAGCTAGACGTTGCAGAAGTCCAGTGGCTAGATCACTGGTGCCTTTAGAGTTGATGACTTGCCTACACCAAATTTTGCTATGCATGGTTAAGTTGATGTCTGGTAACCTTAAATGTGAAACCTGTATCCTCAGCTTTGATGTCCACGTTGCCATTCTGAAAAACTTTAGTAACTAGAAAAGGGCCTTTCCATCGAGACTCTTGTTTCCGTGGAGATGATTTGAAATAGGAACTTAACAACCACACTTTTTTATCAAGCTGTATTTTCTTAAAATTTGGGCTGCATGGAAAATTTTCATGTTTTTTCATAGTGTTAATTGGCTGGTCATCATGTAGCACCCTTTGCTGCTGTGGTTTAGGACTTATGCAATCACGAGTCAAATTCGGAGGTTTTATGGACAGATGGTCAATTGATGATCTGCTTATAAACTCGGCCCTTGGTACACCATCCAATGCATCAACATGCATGCATTCTTGCTTGTCACCTGAATGTAAGCTTGCTTCAAACAACTTGAAAACAATGGTTTGATCTTCAACCCGGAATGTTAATGTTCCGGCTTCAACGTCAATAAGAGTCCGGGCTGTTGCCAGAAATGGGCTGCCCAAAATGATGGGTGTTGTCAAATCCTTATCCATGTCCAACACCATAAAATCAGCCGGTAAATATAAATTGTCAACCTTCACAATAACATCTTCAATGACTCCTCTAGGGTAGGTAATTGAACGGTCAGCCAATTGAATAATACTGGAGGTTGGCTTCAGCTCACCTTCACCTAAACGTTTGAAAACAGAATAAGGCATTAAGTTTACACTAGCACCTAAATCAATTAAAGCACTTTTAAAATCAGAATTGCCAATAGTACAAGAGATAGTAAAACTCCCTGGATCTTTTTTCTTTGGAGGCAATTTATGCAATAAGACCGCACTGCATTGTTCTGTTAGAATTACTTTTTCAAAATCAACGAGCTTCTTTTTCTTTGTGCAAATATCCTTCAAACATTTGGCATAAGATGGAATGTTCTTGATTGCATCAATTAACGGTAGATTAATTTGAACTTTTGACAAAGTCTTCATAAAATCTGATAACTGTTGATCTTTAGCTTTAGGTCTCAACCTTTCTGGATAAGGCATAGGTGGCTCATAAACACGTTCTGCAGTTTTTGTGGTAGCTTCTGCAGTATTTTCGGATCTGTCTTGGGACTGTCCAGACTCTGCAGAAATTTCAGAATCTGCAAAAATTGCAGATTTAGTTTGGGGTAGTTCTGCTGCCTGCGAATTTCCAACAGAATTTTCATGTCTGTTGCTGTAACTTTTGCCAGACCGTAGAGTCTGTATCACATTGCATTCTTCTCGTCCTCTTGGATTAGGTACTGTTTGACTAGGAAATGTACCCGTAGCTCTTTCTGAAACCTGTAAAGCAATCTGCCCCATTTGTTTTTCCATGTTTTTCACTGCTGCCTGTAGATTTTGAATTTCTTGAGTGGTAATATTTGCCAATTTTTCAATTGCAACCTCCCAAGCAGCCTTAGGTGCAGCAGGTTGCTGTACCTGCCGTTGAAATTGAGGTCTTGAGTGCTGATCCTTGTCCCACTTTAAATTAGGATGATCTCTCCAACCTGGGTTGTAGAAATTTGAATACGGGTCATATCTGGGACGTTGAAAATTATTAAATGAATTAACCTGCTCCGCTATAAACTCCGGATAAGCATCTTTATGTGGACAGCTCAAAAAATCATGATTTGTCAAGCTGCAAATGCTGCATGCAACTTGTAAAGGTTGTTGTACGGCAACCTGTGAACCCGAAATTCTTTGTAATAACATGTCAAATTTTGCATCAAATCTTTCAAGCTTTTTCTCCATTTTTTCAATTTGTGCCGACACGTATGGTGAACCATTTGACATCTCAAAAACGGATCTAGATTGTGGCTGCTCAACTGCCCATTGTTGGGTATCTGCTGCCATTTTTTCAAATAATAAACAAGCCTCTTGTGCATTTTTATCTTTGTACGAACCTCCGCATGAAGCGTTGACAAGAGTTTTTGTAGTCATATTTAACCCTCTGAAAAATATATGCATTTGATCAGTAGTGTTAATACCCGAATGTGGACATTTTCTAATCAACTCTTTAAACCGCTCCCACGCCTCATGAAACTCTTCATTTGATTTTTGGGCAAATGATAAAATCTGAGTTCTCATGTCAAGAGTCTTCGAAGCTGGATAATACTTGTTTAAAAAAATTTCACTGAGTTGGGCCCAAGTTGTAATGCTTCCAGATGGGAGTGTGAGAAGTCATCTCCTTGCTTGATCTTTTAGAGTGTATGGAAACAAACGAAGCTTAATAGATTCGGCTGAAAATCCCCTCACCAAAATATTTTTGCAACCCATAAAAAATTCTGCAATATGCATATTAGGATCATCAGATGATAACCCATGAAATGTAGGTAGAATATTCAACATGTGTTGTTTTATTTCAAATGAAGACCCTTCCTCCACTGCTGGATAAGTAATGCAACTTGGTATATTTGTGGTATGGGCTGTCAGTGAATCACCCAGAGGCAGACCAACCTCTGGAATTACAAATGCCATTTTTTCTTTGCTGTGCAGGTCCCCAGAAAAGAATGATTGCAGAAAAGTCTCCTGCAGAGGACGAACCCTCTGCAAAGTTTACTCCTTGCGTTTCCTCCTCAAATTCTGCTCAAGTTCTGGATCAAGTGGAATCAATTTCTGCACTGTTGAAAGGGTGTTGACCATGCACAGATTTCTGAAATCTGCACTGCTGTACTGTTGTAATCTGTAAAAATAAAATAAAAACGAAAATTAAATTTTTTTTTTGGTTATATGTATAAACAGCAATAACTAATTGAAAATCTGATTAGTAGGGATTATTAAATAATTCCCGGCAACGGCGCCATTTTCTTGATAGGATTTTTACTACTCATGTTAACGGGCTTAAATCTCTTATTTTACTTGCAAGAATCACAAGGTTATTGTAGTATAAACGGATCTCGCAAGATCGTCTCCACAGGGATTATTAAATAATTTGAAACTAATCAGATTTCATTTAATTATTGTAAGGTAGAAGTTGAGGTGATTGATTTTATAACCTAATTAAAATAAAAACGAAATTAATGAATTAAAATAAACAATCTACAATATTAGAGCTAGAGAGAAGAAAACAATTTTGGGAGAATAAAATTAAGAAAGCACTAGGGTTCCACCATCACCTAGCAATCCTATGAATTTTTACCCATTACTTATGATCTATACATGCCACTTTGAAGGTTAGATTTTCCTAATTCATATTCTACTTGGAACCTCCAACATAGAACGTATATCTAACATGCAACCCGTCCGGACGTTCGGATCAAATCTGAACATGAAAGACTCATTATGCTTTATGAAAATCCTTTGAAAAACCATGCAATCCTTAAGACGTGATATTCATCCTAAGTGAAATTACAATTATTAATCACAAGAAGCCAGCGTCAATTTTAGGGAACCTTCCGACCAAAATTGCATCAAATTACTTTTCTAAAGATCCTAATGGTGATCAGGCATTAAGACAATTAGATAATTTTTATCTCGGTGATTAACAATTCAAATTATGCATGCAATCAATCATAAGCAATTAAATAAAAATCACATATTCATGCTAAGGCTCAAGGCTTCGCCCTAGCAAAAGAAATTAGTTCCGCATATTCATAATTGAAATCATAGAAAATATTCTTAAGAAAATGATTGAAAACACCTTCAAGTAGAAAATCTCCAAAACCCTAGTAATTCTCTCTGTCTCCAAAGTTACATAAAATAAAGTGTAGTGAAAAACTGTAGACGGCCAAGCAATATATTTGCTAAGCCACCACACAAACCCTAATCCCCCATAAAAAAACATAACCCTAAATTAAAATGGTAAAATTCGTCCAAAATCTGAACAGCCACGTTTTGGACCCATAAGCTGCTCCAAAACTGGCCCAATATAGCTAGATTTAATGTTTGGATTATTCTGAACACTTCTCCAGAAGGCCACAAACCCATCCGATGTCATCTTGGGCTCAAAAACGCAATTTAAGCCCAAAAACGTCATTTTCTAGCACTGTGCACTGCTCCTTTATTTTATCGCCAGAAAATAACCGCTTGGTAGAAAAATCCCAAATTTTGATACGATCAAGCTAAGTGACTCACGAACGTCCTCCAACTGGAATTACTCCAAAATTCGTCCATTTGGTCCTGTTTTGCTCCAGAGGAATTCGAAAGTCCTATATTGAAAATACAATTCAAAGTATCAAAATTCTTCCAAAATATTAACCAAAATATACTAAGATTAGGGTAAAATATATAATATAAAATCTACTCATCACTTATGAAAAGTAGACCTTGTCAATTCTTCATGAAGAGACTGGCCAGGTTGTCCTTGGAACGGATTTACTTGACTTTAATGTTTTGATGCTCTTATTGCTAATGTGAACAAAAGAGTTTCAGTGTAATGTACTTAGTGTTGTCTCTTTTGAAGTATCTCTTCTTAATTTGGTTGATACATGCTGCATTATCTTAGAATATGGTCCTTTACTGCTCTCAGCCAGAAGCATTCACACGTAGCTTCATGTAGGGTGAAAATCTTAGCATGGTTTCTAAGAAGTCACAACTTCTTCCTCATCATCTTTAGAATGGAAAAAAAATCAGGTGTGGAACTTCAAGCTCTAAAACTTCTTCCTCATCCTCTTTAGAAAGGAAAAAAAATCTCGTTTAGCATTTAGCATCACCATAGAAGCAGTCGAAGGCTTCAGTTTATCCTCATTAAAATGATGCAATACCTTCTATTATAGTTTAACTGATGAACCAAAATTCCATCCGAACAATGCTCGATCTCTAGGCTATGACAGTATTGAGTTTTTCCAAGATCTTTCATCTCAAATTCCGTATTTAAGTGCACGACAAATTTTCAAGCTCTTAAGGAATCCTAATGAGATTTATGTCGTCGACATAAACAACAATAATTGGGTGAAGCAATTAAGAAAATATAGCCTAACTTGGGCTTTAGCAGAGCACAACCCAACATAATTGGGTGTGTTACGAAGAGTGGAGCCAAAATATGGCTTTCGATCGAGAAAATCGTGGCAGCCCAACAATGTTATGCGGCTACAGGCAATGGGCTTAGCCAAGTTGCAAAAGGCAACCCAACATGTTCTGCAGTTGCAGCAAGGCACATGTGATGGGGAAATGAAGCCCAACAGATGGATCAGGCGTGCAGGCTTTTCCAGTAGACCTGTAAACGAGTTGGGTTTATCAGGTTTGAGTTGGGTTTAATCCAACCCGTTAAACTAATGGGTCACCCAAACCTGACCCGTTAAGCTAACAGGTCATCTGAATCCAACCCGTTAATCTAACAGGTCACCTGTTAACACTCGTTAACATATATATATATATATATTTTTTTTTTTTTTTTTTTTTTTTTTTGCATTCCAATGCAACTGTACTTTTAAGCGATCCTCACGCTACTGGAAGCGATATCATTTCTAACTGTGCCCTTTGGTAGGCATCATTTGATAAATTTTTTGGTCTGCTCACCAAGTATTGCCTGAGTAAGTATGAAACTATAGTATAATCAATATTTACACAGAGTCAGCAAAGCGCAGAAGTTATTGGTTTAGAGGCTACTAAGGCAATACATCGTGAAATGCCTGTGGAGCTTCTGTGTGCTAGTCTTCCTCACACAAATGAGCATCAGCGGAAAACCTTTTGTCAAATTTTGCTCATCGATCAATGCCCATTTTTGGTCTTAAGGCCCATGGTTGGAGCGGATGTCGAATGAACTCTGAATTAATGAGGGGATAATAAAGGACTTATAAGTTTTTTGAAGAAAAAAAACACAATCCATCTTTGGTTGGCGATTCTTCCATCAATATGTATGCCAAATTTGGTCACTTGGACTATGCCCACCAACTGTTTAATGGAATGCCCAGGAGAAACCTTGTATCTTGGACTGCTCTCATTTCCGGGTACGCCTTATGCGAGCAACCCCAAAAGTGAAATTACTCAAACATCCTCAACTAACTGGTGCTAACGGATGTTAATGAGTCTAACAAGTTGACCCAAAGTGAGCCGTTATTTAACGGGTTGTTAACGGGTTCACTTGTTAGCGACTCGACCCATTAAGCATTCAACCAAATACTAATATTAATGAGTCAGGTCGGGTCGGGTTGGGTCCAAAATGCCAGGTCTATATACAAATACCAATTGTGTATGCATAAACATGCTCATATGAAATGTACAATACAAATAATAATAACATTATGCAATAATAGACTGGGGATTTAAGCATCAAGGGGAATGTTTTCATGAAAAAAGTAGGCTTGTAAAATATCAAGTCTGTGTTTTAGGAGAACATGATTGGTAGAAAACAAAAATGAGCCTTTGAATTTGTAGAAGAACCTTCTCCATGAACCATCAGTTCCTGATTGTCAACAAGAGTGTGCTGATAACGTGTTGTATGCCTATTTAACTGAAGAATTATAGAGCACGAGAAAGGGGTGCGACACACAAAGCAATAGAGAGATTTATTGAATTTTGATATATGTGTTATCTCACCCCATTATGCTTTTATTTATAATAGTAGGGAAGGTAAATTCCTTACCCTTGAGGTATTACAACTGAATCAGGACACTACTTAAAAGATATAACCGAATCCCAATAGGATATACACAATCTCATCAGGACCCTTGAGGTATTACTAACCTAATTTGGACTACAATAATATATAAATTTATTTATTAATCTTGTAATCTAAGTTTTCGATGTTGCAAACTTATCGTCTATTTTGTGTTATAGCACATGCTAGTAACTATGCATAACACTAACAATTTTCTCTTGAAATGCAGTGTATAATTTACTTCCTTACTAGATGCACCCCTAGGGTTTCGAGCATCGGTTTCCAGTTTTGGGGTACTATGTCTAGGCCCTAGAGAAGGTCCCCAAGCCAGGTTCAAGTCCCTGACGCCAAAGTTTTAAGTTACAAGCATTGAGTTTCGGAGTCCAGGGTTATTGAGCCGAGTCTCGAGTGACAATATTCTCAAGCCAGATTTCAAGCATGAAATCTTAGGTCGGTATGAGGTCGAAGTTGTTGAATAAATTATCTCAACTTTTGGAATGATTGGTTTTCTCAATTCACTTTTGAAGTACCAAACATGGGGTTGAATTAAGCTTCAATAATCATGCTACTAATCCTATCTACCAAATGAGATCAACACGAGAAAATAAATTGCAATAAAGAACAATCAATTGGCCTTGGAACTTTCGCACCAAAACCTTTGCCCTTTCTTAGACAGTTTTAACCTTGAAGTGTATTTGAACAATTTTACCATTTTCTATCATTTGGTCTTCTTCAATTCATTCAATCTGACGGACGAAAATTGAGGTGTGTGGAAAGTAAAAAAGAATGTGTAGATAACTGATAAGAGCAAATTTATGCGACTTAGTTAGCTTGTTTTCTTGCATTTTCATAGATAGTTCTTACTTATTATAGTGTTTTAAGTTAATTTCGTATGTTTGTAGGTTCAAATGACAAAGTTGGCAAGAAAGTGCAATTTGGAGCAGTTTTGGGCATCAAATGGATAGCTTATGAGTGGTTCAAGATGGATGGACGAATTTGAAGTTCAAGAGGCTAGGAATGTGCTGAAAAGGTGAAGAAAATAAATCCAAGACAATGAAGATAAGGAATCAGCTCAAAAGAAGGAACATTATCCAAAACCTTATCCAACCTTATCTTATCCAAACTAACTTTATCTTATCTTATCCTTTCCTAATCTAACATTATCCAATCTTATCTTATCCAAATCAGTTTGTGCCTTAATTCCAGCCATTTATAAGGGAT